AAGAGAAAAACATATGGCAAACACAAATGCCTAGACAACTATTGATACTAAGATTAACTGTCACTGTGACAAAATGAGACCTAAATGCTTTCTTTCAAAAGAACCCCTCATTTGAGTCATAAATACCAATCAAAGGGGATCAGAGGGAAAACTAATCTCATCTCCGATTTCTGAGTGCAACATACTGCACGTTGATGTGAAAAGACACGATGCAGCTAGACTCTACCAAGAGGATCTCCCACGCATTCAAAGATTTTTAACACTCAGTTGTTCGGTTAAAATAAAAGCATATTGAATGGTAAGGATCTTTCCTATCCACTCCTTTGCCTAACAGCATTCAGCTGGGGCCATCCACATCTGAGGTTTCATGACCGCACAAAACATTTTCCTAAAACTGCCTTGCTAAGAAAACCACGTAGCCCCCACCACACGTGTTCAGCAGTGTCCTTGCTGTTGTGAGGCCACCAGCAGCACTGGCTGGCAAGGCCTTGGTGACCAGCTCCAGCAGGGCTGAGGGCTGTGCTGGGGTCCTGAGGATGGGCTGGTGTGAGGGGAGGGGGCAGAGGGGCTCGGAGGCACCCAGAGCCCCCGTCCTGGAGGGCAGCACCAAGATGATTTCCAGAGAAGGGAAGCCATTCCCCTTAGGTCTTTCCAATAAACGCCCAAGGGCAGGACAGGGAGACTTATCTAGGCAACCATCCCAAACGACAGCTCCAGTCATCCTATGGCTGCCTGTCTAACATCCACATGTTTTATGGGACTCAGGCAGATGGTTAAATTTCATTGTTTATCAAGTGACCATGTTGGCCAAACGTTGAGCTATCTGTCCACATACACTGATTCAGTCCATAGCATAAGAAGAGTGATATGACATCTCCAGTCTCATTTATAGAGGAAAGACCAAAGAGAGGAGAAGGGACAGAAGAATGGAAGGAAAGAGAAAAAAAGTGAGAAGGATAGAAAGAAAGCATGAGAGAGAAAGAGAAGATCATTCTTTTCATTAATTTCTGCTCATTTAATTTTCAATTTTAATTGTGCAGAACGGGCAAATAGAAATGAATGATTGATTTTTTGGGAAATGTATACAACGTGGAAAGTATGCACTTCTCTTAAAGTAGCTTTTAAGCTACTTACCATGTAAGCAACTCAGAGTTGCTTATTGTACAGAGTCCTGTCTGTGAGGGACATGAGTTTCGGAAATGGAAAGGGGACACTGCAGCCTTTTCCTTCCTTCTTTTTCTCACATTAAAAAAAAAAAAAAAAAAAAAAAAAAAGAAGAAGAATAAGAATAAAAGATCTCAGAGTCTCTTAGCTAGGATTTCATTGCTTTCCCTGTGTTTTCTGGTATCTTATTCCCATGCGTATTACTCCAAGAGGGAAGTTCCCATATCTTAAATTTTCTACTTGGCTACAGTAATTTCATCTTTCTCCCTCTTGGTTCCAGCAAAAAAAGCATCACAGTTTGTAGGCTCACACAGGCAGAAATAACAAGAATATACATGTATATACTGGGCCATGTAAATCCTGATCATGGATATGGATAGGAACATACGCACGTATAGATATGGTCAACTCCTACCTTCCTTATTCATTGAGAAGTCCAACTGGAAGTATTTAACAGAGGGATATGAAGAAAGTGTGCAGGATGTGGGTCTGGAACTTAGACGTAAAAGAAAATTTCAGTTCTGAGGGTCAAACGAGTTTGTGATGCCTTTTGTATAATAGCAGCAGCTTAAGTTAATGTTGTCAGCAGTGATTTTCAATTCTAAGTGCTTTTAAATGAGACCGAGGCCTGATCTTTTTAAAGGGGCATGATGATTTCTCAAAACCAGACCCCTTGCTCTGGTCAAGTAAAATGCAGGGCAATCAATATCAGCTCTTACTTTTTAAACCCCCACATTTTGGCTCTGACAGCTCCTGGCTTTTGGCAATGCAATTAGCCGTGAAGTCTCAGCCAAAAGCGTGCACACTCACAACTTATCCACCTTCCTGCACAGGGTAAATCAGCAGGAGGAAATGGAATAAATTTTACAGTATTTTTGTGCAACATGAGTTAATTCTTTGCCAGGGAAAACAATGGGAAAATGCACATGCATTTGAAGGCCTCATGACCTGGCTAGCTATTAGATGGCAGCAATGAAAACTTGTGAGTGAACCATTACACCTCCATTTTCTGCTACAGTGAGACAGATTTCTAGTGGAAGAAGGACACCTCTGGGGGGATACAGGACAGCTTCAGTCAACAGAGGCCTTGAGACCACACTGGTGGTGTCCACTCCAGCAGGAATGGAGAGAAGTAGGCTGGGCAATAAAAGGTGAGTAAGGTTCCCTCAGACTTTTAGAGACTGAAGCAGGATAATAAATAGGCAGAAAGCAGTCTCCTGGGTCTGAAGGCAAAGGAAAAACAAGAAGAAAGTCCCTGAGGGGAGGCACAGGACAGCATGAGAAGTGGAAAAGAACTGGTTAAATCCAAAAAACCCGAGTGACTGAATCACTTCCACTCATGGATGAACATACATGCCAGTAAGACCTGTAGTAATTTGTACAGGACACTCGCGGTGCTGTGTTGTTCCCAGGGGTTTAAAAAGTAACTGTTCAGTAAGACACATGATGGCATTGCTATATTGGCCAAAAGGAAGCAAAACAAAAGCACCAGAGGAAAGAGGACCACTAAGCTCATCTCCCAGCTACACAACGCAGTACAGCTCCTGATGGTGTCTAGAGAGTCACAACGCGTTCAGTTCAGTGCTTCCCAAGCAAAGAGCAGGAACAGGCCGTCCAAGCCCTGTCAGTGTGACAGAGGAAACAGCCAAACTCGCTGAACGGTGTTTACCAGCGGTTGTAAGGCCTTAACAAAAACGGACGAGTCAGCATATCCTTTGACCTAAATCAACGAAACAAAGTGCTTGAGAGAAGCACTGTCCTATCCACAGTGGACAACATCTTTCCAAGATGAATGCCCGATTTTTTTCCCCTTTTAGATGCCGCAAATGGTTTTTGGCAGATGTTTCTACACCCAGATGGCGCCAAGTTAACTACTTTTATTATGCCTTTTGGATGGTAATCTTTCCGCAGACTTCCTTTTGGCATCGCTACTGCACCCAATATATTCCAAAGGAAATGACAAGGCTACTGCAGCACCTGGAAAGGGATAGTTTCTTGTACAGACAAAGTCCTGGGATATTGCCATTAAGAAGAGAAATGATAAAAGCCGGTCTAGATTTCTAGAGACACTTGGTATTCAGGCCTAAAATGCAATAAACTTTGGGCTACATCAAAATGAGCTGAACTATTGAGACAACATGCGTAAAAACTAGGCATAAGGGCAGACCGAGAAAAGGTAAATTGGACTAAGAAAGTAATAGATTAATGCAAACTCCTGAATCTATGTCGAAGAGAAATGAATGTTGGGTTGTGAATGGCAATAATATATCCTTGGAATGAACTCCTGGAAAATGAAAGCACCTGATATTTGAACATAATATGAGAATACATTTTCAGCTGAGCGGAAGCCCTACCTGAAGCACACCAGTGCTCCCTTCCCGTAACCATTCACAGCTGCCTGCTATAACTGCGTTGTAGATTACTGAATTAGTGCAACCTGGTCAGACCAGTGGGGCTGCTACATACTGCTCCCGGACATAAATCAGTCTCTGCAGACTGAGGAGTGTCTCATTGTAAAAGAAGCATGTGAAAAATGTATAAAAAAGCTCTTTCAGAGAGTCATTTCAACTTTTGACTGACCACAAACCACTTGTACTCCTGATAAATAGGAAAGACTTGGATTGTGTGCCAGCGACTTGTCAAGCCCTACTTAGGGCTTAATTAGGCACAATCCGCAGACATAATACAGTATTGTGACTGGCACAGCCTTGGTAGTTGGTGGTACCCTGTCTAGATACCTTGCGAATGTGACAGATGTATGAATATTGCAAATGGCTGAGGAAATTAAAGCTTTATGAGAGAGGTCTGCAAGCCTTAAAACCAATGTCTGATTCCTAATTATAACACATCTGACTGGCTACTACCAAAAATGTGGAGCTGCAATATTAGAGTGTGGGAAAAGTGACTGCCTTAAGTACATTAGAAACATACAAATAATAACTGGACTCTCATTCCAGAAAGAAGCAGCCAACATGGTTATCCCAGCAAAAATATCCCCCCGTGGTACTTCATTAGTGAGAATTATGAATAAGCCAAGATGTCCGTTTAGTGGTCTGCCACTGGTAGAAGACATCCTGCTTATTCTAGCTATGCCTGTAAAACACAAGGGCTACCACAGCCTCCTGCTAGCAGCTGAGATACCTGCCCCACTCCCGCAAGGCAGGCACACCAGGTCCTCACGAGTGACCTCCTGACCCAGCCCTTGCCCACGGGGACTCTGCTGTGTTATGGCAGAAGTACTGGAGCATGCAGTGGAGCAACACAATTACTTCCCATTGATTTGGGATTCTCTTGGTTAGGTTATTATCTTTAACACAACGACTTCTAAACTGGAATGGCCTTACTCAAATGTTTTAATGTTTAAGCTTACCAGCAATGCATTGTACATCTCTATCTGACATTTTCTCTCCCCCTTCCCTCTCCTGGAATTCTTGCTTTCAGCAACCACATCCCTGGTTTTTGATTCCTGGAAAAAATTCTCCTTTCTCATGGTGTCTTGCTCGATCATTAATGCTGACATGCCAAAAGCTTCCCACCGAGATCTTGTTGGCTTTTTTGGCATCCCACTTCTCCACATCTGGTATTTTATATAGCTATACATAATATTATAATTCTTGTGCCAGTAGCTTGTCCTCTTCATATGCAGACCATATCTCTCTCAGACTTCACCCCAAATGGGCGCCTTCTCTGCTACATTAGCTCCTCCAGCCCCAAACAATCCAGCTGTCTGAGAGCTCTACATTTTTCAGAAAGCATAAATCACCAGGTCCCAAAATATCTGACAATCATATACATAGCAAAATTCATGACCAGAATGTAATGCACTCATAACTTACGATTGAAGGCCAATGAAAATGACACAAAAAACTTTCCTTTTCCCCATGCTGTTGCAGCTTAAGTAGCATCCAGAAACTTGCTAATGATTGATGTCTGCAGAAACAGAAATCAATGCTGTTTGTCAATGAATTATCAGAATTACTTCATCTTTATGTTGAGGTGAGCTTCTGTTTGTAGACCTTAAAGTCATACTGCACACGGTTCCCTTAAAAATCAGGAGAAAACCCCAATAATCTCTGTATTTTAGATTATGTACCATCCTTTGTTCACATCATAAAAATTTGCCTTGAAAGTCTGATGAAAACTACAAGACAGGGATAAAAGAAGGTGGATCCCAGAACAGAGGAACACGATCAAGGGACCATATCCATCTTTTACCATACTCAGCAATTATACAAAATATCTTAATCTATAGAAGGCAACTGGATATGATCATAACCATCTGCTCTTATTCGAAATAAGATAAAAATTAACGTTTATTGGATACTTAACATTTACACTCATTCTACTAAAATTTTGCTTACAGATAGTCTCATTTCATCAGTGTCTTTCATGCTGGTATTTTCTGATCCTGTAATTTCTGTTCAGCCTGCTAGGGCTAGATTGAACTAAGATGCACGTAACAGCTACTCAAGACCCTTAAACTTACTACTCTTACTCTTATCCTACCCTCTCTATAATGGCTATTGTATACTATCTCCTATATTATCTCACACTGCATGTTGTCCTACCTGAAAAAATTATTCACAGGTCTACAACTGTCAGAGCGACAGGCCTATGATTTTTGAGACTTTGATATGAAAGTGATTTTTTTTCACATTGTCAGTGTTAAGAGCAAAATCAGGTAAGTTTTCTGACCAAATGTCACAATCAAAAAAACCCACCACCCCAAACCCGAAAACAACTCAGAACCCCAATCCTCAAAGGAAGCAGCTAATAAGTCTTATGATTGAATTATTAAAACATCACGAACAGAATGAAAAACTTCACCAAATGTTTGAAAAAAAAAAACATCAGAGAGACTGCTCCCAGCCTGCGTCAGGAATTGCTCAGCACTAAAGCAGGTCAAGCTCTGGAAAGCAAAAGTCTTTGTCTCCAGGCATGGGCACAACTACCTGCATTTTTAGATGCCTAAAGAGTGAAGCATCCAACTCACACCTGGGCTTTTCTGGCAATCAGGAAATAGGTCTTTTCCTACCTGTCTCTGGGAAGAAGGAAGAGGATTCTTCTCACAAGGAACAGTTGAGCACAGGAACGGGTTGTCAGAGAGGCTGCAGCATCCTGCTCCCAGAGAGATGCAAAGCTTCACCAAACAAGGCCTTGGGCAGCCTCATTTACTTGTTAACTCTGCTTTCAGCATGGTGTTGAACCACATGACCTCCACACATCCTTTTCAATCTGTGTTTTTCTGTAGTTTGATGATCCTAATCACTCACTAAATAAAAAAAATAAATATTCTGCCAATGAAAGGGTTTGGACATGTTTCTTCTGTGATAAACTGCACCTCTGTTTTCATCACGTTGAGATAATGACATGACAGCTATTAATGGTTTGAGTTTTGCTTATAGGAAAAATTTTGTATTTAAGTAAAAATGCTGTTCCTGTCATTTTAACATCTGTGTGTTATTTGGACAGGTTTTATCACTGGAACTGTGATAAATGCCAGTGCTTGCTTCACCAAAACGTTAAATTAAGTCTTAAGTTGTAAGGATATGCTTATCCCTACATTCCCTTGCATACTGCTTCCTTGTTTCGCAGGTGGAGAACTAAGGCACAGAGGAAGCCTGTGAAGAGGTCAGCAGGTGAACGTTTCCTCCTAAATCTCAGTCTGTTGCTTTCAGCACAAATCCATCCTTTGGTCCTTGTTATATACTCTATGGACAACTTCTTTCAGTACATAAGAGTTTCTTCTCGTAGCTATAACAGCTGATCTAAAGTATTCAATGGCAAAAATATACTGTCATTCAAACTGCTCCTTATGCACAGCTTAGTCCATGGTTTATATAGCACATTTTGAAATAGGACACAACTGTACTCATTCACTTTGGTTGCTGCTTTATAAAGATACGTCTGTGAAGGAAGAATGTTGCTTTCATTACAGGTCATTGGAACAGCCAATTATCTCCAAGATTTCTTATCTGCTGGGGACAAGGATGACACCGAAAACACAGACAGCATCAGGCGTACGCTGATGCAGGGGACAGTGCCAAAGCATCCAAACTGTGCACCCGCTTCGCTTCCAGACATTCAGCACCAGCACATTCACAGGGAAGAGCTGAGCTGCTGTGCTAAGCATCTTACGCCCTTCCAGCCTTTCCCCATATGGTCTCTGATCCCCATGGCACACATCCTGCATCCCGTTCACTCCAGTGACCTCCACTTAGCTGCAGAATTTGTAGAACTTTCTGGGTTTTGTGGCCAGATGTTATTTTTTTTCGAGCCTTGCAGCAGTTGCTAATAACCTCAGCATTACCTTTCCCAGCTGTCGCGCAAGCTATATGCTCTAAAACGTTATCCATTTCAATAGGAGGATACCCCAAGGACACAGATGTTGAGCAAGTATCTAACTGCTTTGCTTTCTACTGGACTACCGAGGTCGTTTTTTTGCTAAACTGCCAAAAGCAGAACAACAAAACTGCTTGCCAGATCCTGCTCACTTTTTGTGCAAGTCCCTCTTCATCCGTCAGAGACTGTTCAGCTCCAGTCAGGACAGGGTGGAAGAAACTGGCCCTTCTCTTCAAACTTCATTACCCTGTGGGGATACATATGTGCGTCCCACCCCTGAGCATGTCACACCATGTGTCACACCACTGACCATCGATACACTCATTCAGGTGAAATGCCTGTGTGATCAAAACCAGTAAAGTCCCTAGCTACCCTTGCAGGAGTGGAAGCCAAGTTTCCAAATACTTGCAAGGCAAAGAGGGGTGTTTCCAAGGGCATGAACGGCAGCCATGCTCCCAACTGGCTCTTGTGCTTGAAAAAATCTGTCTTGCATGTGTGAGCAGCTGGGGCAGGGCATGATCTCCCTCCAGGGACATCCTTTCTTTGCATTGTTTTCCCTTTTTAAGAGTACAAGTGTTGGGCAGCCGCCTGCAACTATCGCTGTGTAGGATGAAATGAAATATAGTGTTATTAAAAAAAGAAAAAAGTAACTCACACAATAGCGAGATTTAGTTAGGTTTCTGAAAAAGGAAGAGCAAAGAAGCAGCTCTCCCCACATCTCTAAGGCATTCTGGGGTGAATATTTAGCTCATATAGCTGTAAGGAGTTTGGCAACATATGCCGAATTTCCAGTGGGACAGGCAGGAGGGCCAGTGAGAAGGGATGCTGACAGGCTAGGAATGGAGTAGCAATGTGGTGCTCTAACAAAGATGAAAAGTGTTGCTCTACATCTGAGAGCAGCTTTGTTAATGCAGTTGCGTTTCTCAGGCCACATAGCTGAACCATCAGTGGGTTTGGCTGTGTCACCTTGGTATAAGCAAAGCTTGATGAAATGTGAGTAATTTTTAAAAGAAAGCATTTCTGTGGGTTTGATTCTCTGTTTTGTGGTCATTTCTTTGGAAGGAACGTTAGTCATTTTGGGCTTTTGCACTTGTGTTTTAAAAAAAAAAAAAAAAAAAAAAAAAAAAGGGGGTGGGTTAAAAAAGGGTTGGAGATACAGAAGTTTTTAGCGATGGTTACAAGCTCTCTGGAGGCCTGCAGCCAGAGCCTTGCCGACCCACAGGGACACCTGGCCTGCCGGTGACCAGCTGCGCGGGGGCAAGGGGACTGCCTGTCCCGGGGCTCGGTGCTGGCCACCCTCCTCTTCCCCCCAGGCCCCCGCTCACCTCCCACGCCTGAAGGAGCCCGGGTGGGCTCCCACCCCGCGCCCGAGGCAGGCAGTCTCCCTCCTGTGCAAACCTGGGTGCTGGGAACTGGCAGGATGAGCGAGAGGTGGTGGAAACCAGGCAGTGCACAGCAGCGGGACGAGTGCCTAAGGTCTAACCAACATCTGCATGCTGTTGAAGGGAGGCACCCACCTCCACCTGGGCTCCATCCATCCCCCTCTTAGAGCTGCTTCATAGACTGGACCTGTACAACCCCCTTTTTTCCAGAAGAGCTGACCACCGCATCATTCCTCAGCCCAAATGAAAACATCACCCTGCCTCCCTGTAGATGCATCTGCCCCAGGGTTAAAGGCCTGGGAGCTCCTGGTTCTGGCCACACCTGGCAGGAACTCACCTTTGAGCTTGCAGAAGTCTGTCAAATCCAAGGTATTTCAAGAGACCCAGTATCTTGGACCCTGAAAGCTGTGGGGAGGTTTCCAACAAAATTTTGATTTGATGAAAAATTTCTAACCAAACCTAAGCGTCAGCTGTGTAGTTGTGAGTTGAGAAAAAAAAAAAAAAAAAAAAAAAAAAACAAACAAACAAAAAACAACAAAACTTAGCATGGTCTTATTTGGTTTGTAATTGTAGCTCAGTTACAGTTATCTGCTCTAAAAACATCTCTTTTGTAAAAAGTCCTGAACAGTAAAAAGCTGTCTCTATCCTTGTCTGTTGTCCCCCCCACCCCCTCCCTCCCCCCTTCAAATGCAGTGTAAGCTTTGCAGCTAACTAGGAACGGGATCTGTAATATTTATTATGCCATTTGCTGCATTCCAGAAATAATTTTCCAATAGCCTTGAAACAAAATGAGTACAGTGCATATAAACAAACAGAAAGATCTTTTGGTCTTTAAAGTTTTACCTCTCAATTCTTCCTGCAAAAGTTGTGTCTCTGGCTCTGGTGCTCCTGCAACGGATGTGCAAAAACTCATATAATAACACTGTAACTGCCCTAAGCCATGGTTTTGATTCTCATGCGAGCCTTGGCTCGCTGATCCCTTTATAAAGGCTGCTGGGCTATATTTTTCTGGCAGGTTGAAGGCTCACAACAGAATCATTTTAAAGGGAATGATGGCTTCATGGCACTTAAGACTCGTCTCACAATAACGCAACACCTTTCCACAAAGACAGCGGGAACGACAGCGTCTGTCCTACGTACCCTGTATGTTCTGAGCTTGGTGGCTCTGCTGAGCGAGAGTTGCCTGGAATA